GCGTGTTTGTGAGGATGAATGACGACGAAAGAAAGAGAAGAAAAGAGGGAGGAACAGTGGAAACAAACACACGCACACAACAAGCAAACCAAAGCAGGCAGGCAAGCAAGCAAACAGGCAACAACACAACCACGCAGGCAGCCAGTGAAACCTCTGCAGGTGAGGTAGGACGACAACAACAACAACGGAAGGCAAGCGAGCAAGAAGCACACACACAGTGCCCCTTCTTCTTCTCCACGCTGCACAGCAGGACCACCAACGCCACGACTCACTGATTGCATTGGTGGATATGCTGCCTCGGTGTACGTTTCGCCAAATCAAAAGGAGAGCCTGAATTCAGTTGCCACAAACGACTTCTCTTGGCAACAAACAGCACAACAGCCAATACAGCGAGCAGCAGCAAGCTTGCGACTGTGTGCGTGTGTGCGTGTGTGCGTGTGTGCGTGTGTGCGTGTGTGCGTGTGTGCTTGTGTGGGAGGCAGCAAACAAAAACCAAAGCAGCAACCAACCAACCAACCACAGCCATGTCTCACAGGTGAGCATGAAGCATGTGCTGCAGATGGCTGGGACCATGATTGTGACGTGTGGCAGATGGCAAACGTGATGGCGATGATGATGATGATGATGATGATACACTTGCACCTCTTGACCTCTTCTTACCCCTTCCCTCTTCAACAATTCACCCACCCCTTTCACACACATTCACACAAACACAACGTACAGGGCATATGATGCGCTGTGGGACGAGGCGGATCACGAGATTCGTGACCTGCTGGAAGTGGAAGTGTCCACTGAGCCCTACCTTCAGCCGGAGAAAGGAGACCCAGACTCCAAGTTCAACCACTTGGCCTGCCTCTACATCAAATACGTGCAAATCTTCAAGAAACTCTCCGTCGCATATGACCAACTCGTGCATCCCCAGAAGCGACGGTGCGTCGCATTCCACGTCTGCTGCTGCTAGCTGGTGCTTGTGATGCTTGTGATGCTTGTGATGTGTGTTTGTGTGTTTGCAGCAGACACCACAATGCGCCCTGAGCATGTGCTGTGTGTGATTCAGTCTGGTGTGATTGAGTCTGATGTTTTGGGTGTGCACCATCCTTCACGACCCAATGTCCCAGATGACAGTGCCCCATTCTCACTTCTTCTGCTGCTGCTGCTGCTGCTTTTCTGTTCTGGCGCATGCTGCGATGGTGCAGTGTTCTGAAGCTGCTTGTTGATGGTGTGACGGGCCGTGTGCTGGAGCTGAAACATGCGCTTGTGGAGCACGAGGCGTCAAACTACCAGTTCTTCGACGCCATCCTCGCCGATCTCAAACTCACCCCAGAGGTGCGGCAAACCACACATACACACACATACACGCACATACATACACACACTCACACGCACATACATACACATATACGCACATACATACACACGCTCGCACACATACACACATACACACACACATACACATGTTCTCAGCCCTGTTGTTTTGAGGCGTACTGGGCCCTCACCACCACCGCCATCTGCCCCTGTTGCTTGTCTCCTCCATCGCCACGTGTTCCCCAGGACATTCGAATCCAGGTGCCTGCGTACTTTCGCCGCGACAACGAACGCGCCATCAAGGAGCGGGAGAAGGTGCTGCCATACACACACACACACATGCTTGAGAGAAACGCCGAACATTTGGCAAAGACGCATGAACACTGTGCTTGTGTTTGTGTGCGCGTGCGTGTGTTGTGCACGCGTGTCTCCTCATGCCGCTGTTTGTTCTGCACATCGTTGTGCTGCAGGTGCTGGACGCCCTATCTGCCAAGACGGCTGGAGAGACAACCGACAAGGAAGAGCCCACAAAACGTGTCCTCACCCTCGATGTGCGTGTGAACTGTGCGAATGTGTGCGTGTGTCTGTCTGTCTGTCTGTGTGTGCGTGTGTCTGTCTGTCTGTGTGTGTGTGTGTGTGTGTGTAAACTGTGTAAACTGTGTAAACTGTGTGAACGCGTGCGTGCATGTGTGCCGTCGCACTCCTGTACCTTCCACCAAACTCAGCGCCTTTCGATGAACATGCGTGTGAATGCGTGCGTGTCGATGACAGGAAGCAATTGCGCTTGTTCAACGACACGAGCGGGCGAGACAAGGACGTGTGCGCGCAAAGCTCATGCAGGTAACAACGCCTTGATTTTGCCGGAAGCACCACGGTGTCTCAAACCAATATACATGCGCTCAACACAACCTTTAGCTGCTCGATCACTCTCTCAGGCAATTACGTTCCTAACCTGTGGCTGTGTGCGTTTGCGTGTATGCGTGTGTGTGTGTGTGTGTGTGTGTGTGCGTGTGTGTGTGTATGTGTATGCGTGGTATGCGTGTGTTGTGTGTGTGTGTGTGTGTGTCGTGGTTTGTTTTTTCCCTCGTGTAGGGCCTGCGCGACAAGGAGCGACGCAGAGCGGCTGTCTGCGAAACAGGGGCAGCGCAAACGCCTCACGTCTAAGCAGGCGTGCACGAACCTCATACATGCTACCATACACACACACACATGCTTGAGAGAAACGCTGGACGTTTGGCAAAGACGCATGAACACTATCCTTGTGTTTGTGTGCGCGTGCGTGTGTTGTGCACGCGTGTCTCCTCATGCCGCTGTTTGTTCTGCACATCGTTGTGCTGCAGGTGCTGGACGCCCTGTCTGCCAAGACGGCTGGAGAGACAACCGACAAGGAAGAGCCCACAAAACGTGTCCTCACCCTCGATGTGCGTGTGAACTGTGCGAATGTGTGCGTGTGTCTGTCTGTCTGTCTGTGTGTGCGTGTGTCTGTCTGTCTGTGTGTGTGTGTGTGTGTGTGTAAACTGTGTAAACTGTGTAAACTGTGTGAACGCGTGCGTGCATGTGTGCCGTCGCACTCCTGTACCTTCCACCAAACTCAGCGCCTTTCGATGAACATGCGTGTGAATGCGTGCGTGTCGATGACAGGAAGCAATTGCGCTTGTTCAACGACACGAGCGGGCGAGACAAGGACGTGTGCGCGCAAAGCTCATGCAGGTAACAACGCCTTGATTTTGCCGGAAGCACCACGGTGTCTCAAACCAATATACATGCGCTCAACACAACCTTTAGCTGCTCGATCACTCTCTCAGGCAATTACGTTCCTAACCTGTGGCTGTGTGCGTTTGCGTGTATGCGTGTGTGTGTGTGTGTGTGTGTGTGTGCGTGTGTGTGTGTGTGTGTGTGTGTGTGTGTGTCGTGGTTTGTTTTTTCCCTCGTGTAGGGCCTGCGCGACAAGGAGCGACGCGAGCGGCTGTCTGCGAAACAGGGGCAGCGCAAACGCCTCACGCCCGACGACGCTGCTGTTGTCATCCAGCGCAACATCCGCCGCGTGCTTGCAGGCAAGAAAGTGGACGAGCTGCGAGCTGCGGAGATGGCGCTCATTGGTATGGTGCCGGACAGGACACGGGATCGAAGGAGGAAAAACGATCCAATTGCAATGGCCAAGAAGGTAGCAGAGGACAGGCATGTCACGCAGGCACAGTACGAAGCACAGTACCAGGTCAGTGGTTGTGCAGGCCTGTGATGGGAGCGTTTGGGGGGAGGGAGAGGTTGCGAATGGTGTGCGTGGACTGGTTGAAGCGGTTCTAAGCATTTTGGTGATATGCCCCTTTTGCACGTGGATGTGTGCACATGTACATCTACGGGTGCATTCACACATACACATGCGCACACATCCACAAACCTTCCATGCGTGGCCCGTGCGATGGTGTTTTGCCAGGCTGCGCTCGTGAACACGAAGAAGAAGATTGCGGAGGTTGAGGGCCCCGATATGAAGGAGGCCATGTCCGACAAGATTCGCGAGTGGTTCCTCGCATGCAGAGAACAGGTGTGTTTGTATGTTTGTGTCTGTTTGTGTCTGTGTGTGTGTGTGTGTGTGTGTGTGTGTGTGTGTGTGGGTGGGTGGGTGGGTGTGTACGTCTGTGGGTATCTGTGTGCGTCTGTGGGTGTCTGTGTGCGTCTGTGTGTGTGTGTGTGTGTGTGTGTGTGTGTGTGTGTGTGTGTGTGTGTGTGTGTGTGTGTGTGTGTTGCCAAGTTCCACAACAAAATACGTCACCTCTCCCACCACATACGAACATGCACATGCTATCACGACACTCAACACCTTACCTCGCCATCAACACCATTACTACCAGACGGGCAAGTTTCCCGAGTTTCCGGCGACGGACGCGGGCGGATCAAAACTGATCTTCAATCCACCGCCGCCGAAGGATGAGAGCGAGGACGATGAGGGCGGCAAGAAGAGCGCAAAGGGGAAGAAGGGGAAGAAAGGTGCGTGAAATGCGTAACATGCGTGCTGGGCGCTGGCTGTACCGTGGGCGTGTGGACGCGTTTGTGCTGCCCGTACCTGCAGTTTGCTGGCCTTTCCTTTCTTGCTGTATTCCGTGGGTGACTTCCGCGCACACGCTCACAACACGTGCACACACACACACGCTCGCAACACACACAAACACGTGCACACACACACACGCTCGCAACACGCACACACACACACGCTCGCAACACACACACACACACACACTCACTCACATTCTCTCTCGCACTCGTTTTGAACTTCGGATGACCATTGCTACATGTGCATGCAGGCAAAAAGTCTGCTGGAGACAAGAAGAAGAAGGCGAAGAAAGACGACAAGAAGAAGAAGAAGAAGAAAGGCGACGGTGTGTGCTCCTCCGTGCCGCTTGAGCACATTGCAGCATGTGAACGTGTGTGGGCGATCTTGTATCACGGTCCACGGTTATCGCGTGCGTGCAGGCATATGATGTGATGCTCTTCTCACCCTGTGCACTTGCATGCTCTTGATGTTGATGATTGCAGACGAAGAGGAGGAGGACAAAGGCCCAAAGGAGTCTGTGTATCGTCCGATGCTGCAGCAGGGCTCAACGCAATTCCGCGACGTACGAGCTGTTTTACACGCACGCGTGTGCGGAGGAGTGCAGACAACATGGCACGCCTGTTTGTGTGCGATGACATCGCTGTCGTCCTCACTCCATGGTTCTTCCTCGCTTGTGTGTGTGTGTGTGTTTGTGTGTTTGTGTGTGTGTGTGTGTGTGTGTGTTGCCACAGGTGTGGGCGAAGAATGCGGCTGACAAGCACAACATCCACCAGAAGCACGACCTGGACATGATCAAGGAGCTCAAGGTGCGCGCACCAGCCGCACGCTGGTGGCGGTGATGGCGGTGGTGGCAGAGGTTGCACGCCCGTGTATCCGATGGTCTTGCTGCTGTCCAGAGGGTGTTGTTGAACACGCAACTCTTGCGCGAATACTGAACGCGTTGGACGCACTCTTCTCACTCATTCACACATGCACACATATTCACACATCCACACACACACGCACACACATCGAAACGCACATGCGTGAACACATCACACAGCGGCAAGAGGTTGAGGAAGAGTTGCGGCTGCAAGTGGACGAGTTGATGCGGGAGGAACTGAAGAACTTGAAGGCGGCGGTGGAGGGAAGCAAGGGCAAGAAGGGCAAGAAGGGCAAGAAAGGGAAGAAAGGCAAAAAGGGGAAGAAGGGGAAGAAAGGAAAGAAAGGAAAGGTGCGTGTCACTCAATGTGTGTTTGCGCTTGTCTGTGCACGCATACCTGGTGATGATTACATGGCTGCTTGTTCTGTTGCTTTTTGCTGCTTTGCTGTTTTACTACTTGCTTGCTCACACCTGCGTACGTGTAACCGTGTGCCGTGAACGGCTGCAGGGCAAGAAGGGAAAGAAAGGCAAGAAAGACAAGGTGCGTTTGCTGCATGCGAAAACACACGCAGCGCCACCACCACCCCAGTGGTGCTGCTCCTCTCCTCGTCTTACCTGGCTGGTTTCCAACCACTAATCCTTTTGTTTGTCACACACGCACACACACACACATACACACACATACACACACATTCACTCACTCACTTACACACACATACACACACATTCACTCACACACACACACACACACACACAAAACACCTCACTGGCATGCGCGTTTGCTGCGATGCCAGGACCTGACGGCTGGCGTGCCGCCGGAGACGCTGTTTGAGGAGCTCGTAAAGGAAGGAATCATCCAGCGCGTGCCGCCCGTTACCCTCGACGACCTCATTGGCACATACAGCTTCCTCGGTCCGTGGAGTTGTGTGTCTGTCTGGTTGGCTGGCTAGTCGGGGTTTTGTTTTGTGTGTGTATGTGTGTGTGTTTTTTTTTTTGTTTTTGTTTTTTTTTTTGTGTGTGTGTGTGTGTGTGTGTGTGTGTGTGTGTGTGCTCTGGCTGCCTGCCTGGCTGCGGTCAGTCTCGCACACTCTTCTTTCCAAGCTCACGACATGTGCATGTGCCCTGCAACCCCTGCCACCACCACCACCATGCCTGCCGCTGCTGCACAGGCACGTCCAAGCTGAGCATGAAGCACGACCCGCCACCGTCGCTCGAAGACGTTCGCCGCGTCGTCACACAGGTGAAGAGGAGGGGGTGATGATGATGAGGATGGTGGTGGCAACGTTGGTGACGCTCTTGTTCTTGTTGTTCTAGTTCTTCTTGGTCTTGTTCTTCCTCTTGCTCTGCAGTTTCACCCCCTGCTTGTTGTAACTGCGCCCACACGCGACGTGCCTCGTTCCGCTCATCTTTCGCTGCACGGCATGCTTCCCTTGTCCAGTTTTGCATTCTGCCGCTCGGCTCCCAATCTGTGCATGAAACGCAGCCGGCGCACGTGAAGAGCGTGTGTCTCTTTGGTCCACACGGCGGTGGCAAGAAGACCCTTGTTCGCGCATGCGCACACGAACTTGGCGTGAGTCCTGGTGCCCAATACATGCGTACTGACCTGCTTGATGGTCGTACGATTGTCTCTCTGTTCGCTCGCTCAATTGCTTGGTTGGCAGCTTGTTTGCGTGTTGAACTTGTGATTGCAGCTGTTGCGGTCACATCTCGCCTGCGGTTGTGTCTCTCACTTCACTTGCAAACGTACACGCTTATGTGCATTCAGGCAACATTCTTTGATTTGACCCCCGCAAATACGGCTGGCAAGTACACGGCGAAGAAAGGCGTCAATGGCGTTGAAGGCATGATCCACAAGGTGTGACAACTGTCATGTGATTGGGCCAGCACTGCTGTGATACTTCCTGTTGACAATTCACACCCTTGCACTTGCGCGCTCGTATGTGTGTGTGTGTGCGTGTGCGTGTGTGTATCACATTTGTGCAAGTTTGTGTTCACATGTGCGAGTGTCCGTGTCTCTTTCCCTTTTCCTTTCCCCTTTCTCTGCTACCTTACATCCGCCTGACATATCCATTTACCATCGCGTGTGGGTGCAACAGACGTTCAAACTCGCCAAGTTGTACCAGCCCGCCATCATCTACATTGGCGACGCAGCACAGATCTTCCTCAAGAAGAAGCCAAAGGTGCGTGGTGTTTGTTTGTTTGTTTGTTTGTTTGTTTGTTTGTTTGTTTGTTTGTTTGTTTGTTTGTGACAATGTGCATCGCAGTTCTGTTCTTTGCCTGTGTG